CAAATATTTCCCAAAGGTGAGCAAAGCAGTAAATAAACAATGTTTCCAAAGCAAATATTTCCCAAAGGTGGGCAAAGCAGTAAATAAACAATGTTTCCAAAGCAAATATTTCCCAAAGGTGGGCAAAGCAGTAAACAATGTTTCCAAGGCAAATATTTCCCAAAGGTGAGCAAAGCAGTAAATAAACAATGTTTCCAAAGCAAATATTTCCCAAAGGTGGGCAAAGCAGTAAATAAACAATGTTTCCAAAGCAAATATTTCCCAAAGGTGGGCAAAGCAGTAAACAATGTTTCCAAGGCAAATATTTCCCAAAGGTGAGCAAAGCAGTAAATAAACAATGTTTCCAAAGCAAATATTTCCCAAAGGTGGGCAAAGCAGTAAATAAACAATGTTTCCAAAGCAAATATTTCCCAAAGGTGGGCAAAGCAGTAAACAATGTTTCCAAGGCAAATATTTCCCAAAGGTGAGCAAAGCAGTAAATAAACAATGTTTCCAAAGCAAATATTTCCCAAAGGTGGGCAAAGCAGTAAATAAACAATGTTTCCAAAGCAAATATTTCCCAAAGGTGGGCAAAGCAGTAAACAATGTTTCCAAGGCAAATATTTCCCAAAGGTGAGCAAAGTAGTAAATAAACAATGTTTCCAAAGCAAATATTTCCCAAAGGTGGGCAAAGCAGTAAATAAACAATTTTTCCAAGGAAAATATTTCCCAAAGGTGGGCAAAGCAGTAAATAAACAATTTTTCCAAGGCAAATATTTCCCAAAGATTGGCAAAGCAGTAAATAAACAATGTTTCCAAGGCAAATATTTCCCAAAGGTTGGCAAAGCAGTAAATAAACAATGTTTCCAAAGCAAATATTTCCCAAAGGTTGGCAAAGCAGTAAACAATGTTTCCAAGGCAAATATTTCCCAAAGGTTGACAAACCAGTAAACATCGTTTCCCGGCAAATATTTCCCAAAGTTTGGCAAAGCAGGAAACATTGTTTCCTGCATGGAAATTATTTCTCGAAGGTGGGTAGAGCAGGAAACAATGTTTCCTGGCCATGTTTCCTAAAGGTGCGTATAACCAGGAAGTTTATTTGTTTCCCAATATCCAGAAATATTTTGGCAGTCTTTCCCAATTATATTTGCCAAAAGCGATTATTAAACACAGCACACTTGACTATTACCGTAAAAAGAACCCAAAACCAACTCATGGTCTAGATTCTAGACCACTCTAGATGATAAAAGTATTTGATTAATTTGTTAGAGGAACAGCAGTGCACTTGTACATTTTAATCCCGGTAATAACACAGTCAGGCTTGACACGACGTATGAGACTCCAGTTGATGACAGAAATCAGAGTTTTTGGTCTCACAGTGGACCGTACGCGATGAATCCCCTCGAGAACCCTTGTGTGGTGGAGAAACGTATGAAGGTAGACAAAACATTCGTAAAATCTAAACGTTTCATTAAATTAGGCAGTGAATGGTGGACGGACTTCAGAAATACTGAAAATTATCTACCGCGATATATGTCCTCTGTTTTCTTTCAATAAATCATAAAAAGTTACAGTAGATTAATCAGAAAGTTAGGTTGTGATAAATCTATTAATAATCGACAATGTAATGATCTCTATGTGTTCAGGTGTGTCTCGATCCAGCCTTCGCCAACCCAGCCTACAGTAACAAGGACTGCATGACAGGCGAGACTAGTACAAGTTCCCAAAGGACCATGAATCACTACGAGACGATATGCCCGGTTGGGGTCTACGAACGCATCGACGACGGACTGCGTGGGAGAGTACAGGATGCAGGAGCACGACTCAAAAGAAACGGACACGAAACAAGAGAATAAACCACGATGAAATGAAGGTGGAGTAAGATGAGAATAGCAACCATAGTTCTTGTTGAAACATTTTAAATTGAAGGCACAATTTGTACGCTGCACAATGAAAACTAGAACTTTCTTTCCTAGCTTTTTATAAAGTTTTTTTACTGAAATATTTTTTTGGCGGAAAACATAACGTAAAAAACAAGTAACTAAACATTATATAACATATGTCACTCCAGTTAAATATTGTAAGTTTCTACGCATGCAGAATAGACAAATTCGAAGCTATACTTAAATTTGCGCGGTTGTGTCCTTCTGTGCACAGCTTTAGAGTGAAGTCTGCGCTTATGAGCTGGTGAATATTATCACCTAAGTATTTTAGGGCAGTACACTTAGGCATTAACATGCACCTAGTTTGTAAAAAATTTCATACTCGTCAGTAATCACTGTCAGTAGTTCATAAAATTCGTTAGCGTATAAATCGTAATTAAAATTTGCAAGCGAAATGTATTTTATTAAATAAAAGAGTTTTCAACATTTTATTAAATAAATGAGTTTTCAACATTTTTCGTCCAAACTTGGTCAGATGGTAGAACTAGTCTAATGCTTTCATGAAAACCAATAAAAAAATTTAGGCAAAATTAACACTCAAAGGTGTTCGTAACCTCATATATGACTCCGTTTCGAGCAAATTAATGAATTTGTTAACTATATATGTATTCATTTTATATTATATAAATACCCTATACCTCGCAGGGAATGGATGGAAGTAATTACATTTTTATTATACAGGACGTTTTCAATATTTGTTTAAATCCAACACACGGATGTAAAAACCACAGAAGCGATTGCTAGGATAATAATACAAAGCAATCCGTATAAAACCAAGCAAGGTTGATGAAATGTAATCAGGATTTTAAGTTAGCAAAATATAAATGAGAAGCCAAGAAAAGAGAATCACTAAATTTAAACGGGACTTTTTAATTATACTTTGCCAACAATATGGATAGGCCAATGTTGTATAACTTTGCCCGTTAGCAGGCCCTGGGTACGAGGTTGTAACTTTGCAAGCTAGCTAAGAATCAATTTCGTTCCCCGAGCCTGCGATCCTCGGGAAGTAACGTGAGGCTCTGGGATAATCCGTGTCAGGGAGGAATCTGATTGGCCGTTGATATGGAATGCGCAGTTCAATCTTAGCCAAGATTCCTGGCTTCCGGCAACGGATTATCCCAGAGCCTCACGTTCCTTCCCGAGAATCGCAGGCTCGGAGAACGAGATTGGCTAAGAATAACAATTGTCACCACCAATAGTTCCAAGAACAGAATTGATAACATGAGTTGAAGTATATATATAACTATGTATACCAGCAAACTACTTAAGATGGCGACCACAAATATCGGTTGTACAAAAGCAGTTACAGCATGTCTGTGATGGAAATTGAGTAGCAGGAAAATCGTGTTCTGCATTGTTCGTAGATGAGGGTTACGATAGTACGCCATGATGACGAGACCGTTGGCAAGTGTTCCAAAGAGAGACATAACAAAATTTACAATTGCCAGAGCAGCTTGTAATGACATATCAAGAATGGGGCAGGCCCTCCATATCAAGAATGGGGCAGGCTTTAAAGAGCGTAGCAAATATCCCCTAAATTGCGGATATAGAACTATTTGCCATTGTTTTACTGGATTTCAGTGAAAAGTCACTGCAAAGGGAGCCATTTATCTGGAGTATATGAAAATTCATAATAAGGATGAAATCGAGCTTCGCTGAAGGATTTTGAGAACGATAAACCAAATTTCTCTGCGTGATTCGCTGACCTCAGAATGACATTTCGTCAACACTTTTTTTCTTCAAGATTGGTTTAGAAACAAATTTGAAGTAGGGTTAGGTTAGGGTAAGGATCAGGGTTATGGTTAGAGCGGGTGTTTGGAGTAGGGTTAATGTTAGTAAACACGTTGCTTTGTTACGTTTTGTCACTCTGAGGCCAGCGAAATAATCTCATCCTGTATATATTAGATAAAAAGGCACACAAAACGGGCCCGCAATAATTGGCTCACGCTGTTGCGGTCACCCTGCCTATAGTCATGTATATTATTATTGTTCTTGTTATAGTTTTGTGTATTGTAATATTACGAATGTCACCGAACTGTGGAATCGCATCAAAAATTCGGCCCTTTCTCGATATATGAGCAACCGAAATAGACCAATCATAATATAAGAATAGGGATCGAAAAGATATACACTACATTTAATCGTACCTGTCTATAACACTCCATAGCTATCTATAACACTCCACTGGTATCCATAATACTCCATAGCTATCTATAACACTCCACTGGTATCCATAACACTCCATAGCTATATATAACACTCCACTGGTATCTATAACACTCCATAGCTATCTATAACACTCCACTGGTATCCATAACACTCCATAGGTATCTATAACACTCCATAGGTATCTACAACACTCCAATGGTATCCATAACACTCCATAGCTATCTATAACACTCCACTGGTATCCATAACATTCCATAGATATCTATAACATTCCACTGGTATCCATAACACTCCACAGCTATCTATAACACTCCACAGGTACCCATAACACTCCATAGGTATCTATAACACTCCACTGGTATTCATAACACTCCATAGCTATCTATAACACTCCACTGGTATCCATAACACTCCATAGCTATCTATATCACTCCACTTGTATCCACAACACTCCATAGGTATCTATAACACTACATAGGTATCCACAACACTCTAATGGTATCCATAACACTCCATATAGCTATCTACAACACTCCACTGGTATCCATAACACTCCATAGGTATCTATAACATTCCACTGGTATCCATAACACTCCATAGCTATCTATAACACTCCTCTGGTTTCCATAACACTCCATAGCTATCTATAACATTCCACAGGTACCCATAACACTCCATAAGAATCTATAACACTCCATAGGTAGCCATAACACTCCATAGTTATCTATAACACTCCACAGGTACCCATAACACTCCACAGGCACCCATAACACTCCACAGGTACCCATAACACTCCATAGGTATCTATAACATCCCATAAGTATCTATAACACTCCATAGGTAGCCATAACACTCCATAGCTATCTATAACACTCCACTGGTATCCATAACACTTCAGATGGTTGTCCAATACTGACGCATGCATACGGATCGTTCGTTTCGTAAAATTTTGGCTACGGATGGAAGACTTGTTTTGTCGTAACGATTGGTAAGGACTGAACGTCGATCCGTACGATTGGTAACAGATCGACTGGGAATTGACGATCGGAAAATATGAATTGTCGATCCGTGAATCTAGTGCTCAAGCGTTCGAGTGGCTAAGGGAGGCCCCCAAAATGTTGTCGATCCGTACCATTAGTAACGGATGGACTGAGAATTCACGATCGGAAAATATGAAATGTCGGTCCGTGAATCTAGTGTCAAGTGGCTAAGAGAGGCTTCCAAAACGTTGTCGATCCATACCATTGGTAACGGATGGACTGGGAATTCACGAACGGAAAATATGAAATGTAGATCCGTGAATCTAGTGGTCAAGTGCCTAAGGGAGGCCTCCAAAATGTTATCTATCCGTACCATTAGTAACGGATGGACTGGGAATTCACGATCGGAAAATATGAAATGTCCGTCCGTGAATCTAGTGGTCAAGTG